TTAGGAAATAATGAGAGGCAGACAAAAATCTACAAAGGTATAAGCAAAAAGAAAAAAAGGTATTAGAGAAAGGAAGGGTTAAACAAGACCAATTAATCTTAAGAGTTTTTTCTTTTTCTTTTCTTTTTAGAGACAAAGTCTCACTCTGTCGCCCAGGCTGGAGCACAGTGGTGCAATCATAGCTCACTGCAGCCTCCATCTCCTGGGTTCAAGTGATCCTCCCACCTCAGCCTCCTGAGTAGTTAAGACTACAGGTGCATACCACCACATCCAGTCATTTTTTTTCCCTCTTATAGATGAGGTCTCACTATGTTAGCCAGGATGGTCTCAAACTCTGGTTTCAAGCAATCTTCCCATCTTGACTTCTTAAAGTTTGGGATTACAGGCATGAGCAACTGCATCCAGCCCCCAAGACTTTTTTGAGGCTAAGGGGGTGAAAAACCAACGTTGTTTTCACCCCAACATTTAATCATTCCAATATTCCTCTCTGCAGTGGGGCGGGAGGGGTAGAGCAGTGTAACCATCACTTCTTTTGCATTGTTACAGTAGCTGTAACAATGTAACTGTGTAACAAAGTGACTGTGGAGAGCAATTTTGGAGCTCCATGGAGAGCTTTCATCACTACAGGAAGTCAAGTTTCCTTTAGGGAAACTGATGACAGATTCTAGAAAAGGCCAATGATAGGTGAGCTGATAGAGCATGCTATTCTGTCTGCAGACACTAAGGCTAATGGAAAACCTTCAGATTCCTTCCTGAAGTGAGAGCATAACGGAATGGAGGGCATTTGGTTGCCATTTCAGTTGGGAAATTGGACAAAAGGTCCAGTTTTTCAAAAGGCTCCAACCATGAAGCAAATCTGCATTTCGCATGGCTGGGTTTGAAACAGCATGCCTCTCCTTTCCAGCTCATGATCCTGGAGACACGCACTTCAGGTCAAGTCTCTGTAAAATGGCATATTCTGGCAACTAGGAAACTGAGCTCATTCTTGATGTCAGATTATATGAATAACTAATACATGCTTAGAGTTTTATGGCTAGGAAATGCGGTCCTGAGAAGCTCATCAATAGTTTTGTTAGTTATTAGTATCCTTGTTTTATTGATTTACTAAAATTACACAGCTGTTCAGACCTGGGAGTTAAATTCTCTTTACCAGATGCCAAAAACGTTTTTCTTACCACATCATGGCGCCACAGGTTAAGGAATATAGTGCAGGGTTCTGACTCTCTCTTGCAGGTCGGCACTTCCCAAACCTAGCTGTTCGACAAATCTCCCAAGAGGTGTCTGAAATACAGATCCCTGGGCATTGCCCCTAGATTCTGACCCAGAGTGCTGTTGCTGAATCTGTATTTTTAAATGGTTGCCTGGGGGTCTAATGTACAGTCAGGTTTGAGAGCTACTGTTTAGTTAAATCAAAGACCAATGCTGTAATTTTTACTTGATATCACTTTTAGGGTTTGGTTTCTAAAGATGGAAATCCATGTGTTTTAGATCAGTGGTTTCCTACCTTCTAAAACCTACCTTACCTTTAATGAATCTATTGAAATCTATGGATCTTTCACAAAGAAACACACAAACACACTTTTATGTATAATTCTAGAGGGCTCTATCAGTTTCCCACTGCTGCTATAACAAATAGTCACAAGTATGGTGGCTTAAAACAACATCGATTATCTTGCAGTTCTGGGTGTCAGAAGTTGGACAGGGTCTCACTGGACTAAACTCAGGGAGTTGCCTTTCTGGAGGCTCTAGAGATGATCCATTTTACTGTCTCTTCCACCTCCTAGAAACTGACTGTATTACTTGGCTCATGGGTCCCTTCTTTTATCCAAAGCTAGCAATGTGGCATCTCTCTGACCCCACTTCCCCTTCACATGTCTTCCTCTGGCTACAGCCAAGGAAAGGTTCTCTGCTTTTAAGGATTCACATAATTAGACAGGACGAAAGCCATAGGTCAGCTGAGTTGGCTCTCCTTTAAGAAACCTCCTGAGAAGCCTACCACCCAAATAACACATGCTCCTATCTCATTGGCCAGACACTGCACATGGCCACTATATCTGCAAAAGAGCCTGGGAAACATAGTTTTATTGATTTTTAAAACTAGGCATATTAACACTCCACTAACTCTGGGCTTTGTTAGTAAGGAAAATGGCAAGTATAAATACCAGGGAGATACTAGTGATCTCTACCACAGATGAAAACCTCGGCCGGGCGCAGTGGCTCATGTCTGTAATCCCAGCACTTTGGGGGGCTGAGGCAGGTGGACTGCTTGAGCTCAGGAGTTCAAGACCAGCCTAGGCAACACGGCAAAACCTCATCTCTACCAAAAATACAAAAATTAGCCGAGCATGGTGGTACATGCCGGTAGTCCCAGCTATGCGGCAGGCTGAAGCGGGAGGATTGCTGGAGCCTGGGAGGTCGAGGCTGCAGTGAGCTGTGATTGCGCCACTGCACTCCAGCCTGAAGGACAGGAGCGGGACACTGTCTCAAAAACAACAGCAACAAAACCAAAAAAAGAAAAACAAAAGAAAACCTTGTGTTTTGCGTCCTGCAATAAGAATTGATCATTTTTCACTGTCACCAAAACACAAAGTTAAAAGTCTCCTTCAAAATCTCCCCCAAAGTGCTTTGTCCTCTTCCTAAGCTTGCTTTTCTTTAAGTAGTTCATTCTTAAAAAAATTTTTTTTGAGATGGCATCTCACTGTGTCACTCAGGCTGGAGTGCAGTGGCACGATAACCTCGGCCTCCCGGGTTCAAGCAATTCTCCAGCCTCAGCCTCCCCAGTAGCTGGGATTACAGGCGTGCACCACTGTGCCCAGCTAATTTTTGTATTTTTAGTAGAGATGGTGTTTCACCATGTTGGCCATGGTTGGCCAGGCTGGTCTTGAACTCCTGGACTCAAGTGGTCTGCCTGCCTCAGCCTCCCAAAGTGCTGGGATCTCAGGCATGAGCCACAGTGCCTGGCCATTCTTTTTTTTTTTTTTTTTTTTTTTAATTTTTGTTTTTCAGATGGAGTCTTGCTCAGTCACCCAGGTTGGAGTGAAGTGGCGGGATCTCGGGCTCACTGAAATCTCTGCCCCTCAGGTTCAACCGATTCTCCTGCCTCAGTCTCTCAAGTAGCTGGAATTACAGGTGCACACCACCATGCTTGGATAATTTTTTGTATTTTTAGTAGAGACAGGGTTTCACTATGTTGGGCAGGCTGATCTTGAATTCCTGACCTCAAGTAATCCACTTGCCTTGGCCTCCCAAAGTGCTGTGATTACAGGCGTGAGTTCAGTTCATTCTTTCAACAATGTTTAAGCATCTTCCTATGCCTGGCACTGAGCTGGGCCTTGGGGCTACAAAGACGTCTAAGACTTTTTTCTCCCTGGAGAGCCTTACCATCTCTGGAGAGGGACAGAGAGCGCCTGAAATGATTAGCATGTTCTAAGTGTTGAGACAGAGGCATGTGAACACCCTTTGGCAGCCCAGAAAAGAAAAGGGCAGAGGAAATGGGACAGAAAGAGTGAGGGGAGAACTGGCCTGGACGTCTAGAATGGATAGGATTGTTTTTTCCAGTTGAAGAGGGGTAGGCACATTTCAGGAAGAAAGAACAGCGTTGGAGAAGGAACAGGTATGTGTGAAAACCCCTGCTGGACAGGCTCAGAGGACAGCTAGAAGTTGTGTGCGGATACATTGCAGGGTTTGTAGGAAGTGGGGCGGGAAAAGGGCGTAAAATGGGGCTGGAAAAGGAGATGGCGCCTCCATGTGAAGGTATGCTGAGGAGGTCTGGCTCCAACTTGTAGAAAGAAGAGGGTGGGGGCGGGGGGCAACAGGAAGCTTTTAAACATTACCCAAACTCTGTTGTAGAAGTAAAAAGTGGAAAGAAGAGAACACAGGCAGGGAAACCACAGCAGTGTGGTCAGACTTCGGAAGGATAGCAGTCAGTTCAGCAGGAATCTTGAGTCTGAGTAGTCAAGTTCATAGAGACGCGAGGTAGAAAGGTAGCCCAGAGGCTGTGGATGGGGGTAGGGGTAGGGGAAAGAGGAGTTATTGTTTAGGGTGCAAAGTTTGTTTTCCAAGATGAAGAGTGCTGGAGATGGAGGGCGGTGATGGCTGCAAAACATGCATATACTTAATACCCCAAACTGTACAGTTAAAAATGGTGAAGATGGTGAACTTTCTATTACGCATGTTTACAGTGACACCGTTGGGTGCACGCAGACCCTGCTGGACTCCAGCCACAGAGCTCCTATTCAGCAGGGCTGAGTGGGACCCGAGGATCTGCATTCCGCCAAGTTCCCAGATGCTGCTGATGCTGCTGGTCCGGAGACCGCACTTCGGGAATCACTGGTGTAGGAGGGCAAGTGACTGGAATATGGAGGGGAGCTCTGCTCACCTCCACGTGGCTGCTATTGTTATTAACAACAGCCGGCGTTCACGGAGCGCTGCTCCTGCAGCTGATCTCACAACTGGGTGAAGGAGCAGCGAGCGCGCAGGGCGAGTCTCTGGAGTCTAAACTCGCTCTTCACCCGGGTTGCTTTGGACCTTGCTGGTTGTGAGACTGGGAGGGAAAGCGAGAACGTAGGCAGGGAGACAGGTCCCCAGGGCCGGCCGAGCCCGCAGTGGCGGAGGGGCGCAGCCTCGCCTCCGGGAACCCGCGCGCCGGGGCGCAGCGGGGAGGGGCAGCTCCGGGCGTCCTGCGCGTCGGGACCGACTCCCGCCCGGGAAGTGCGCGGGGCCCGCGGCCCGCAGGGGGCGCTGCCGCGCCGTCCGGCCTCTGCCGCCCGGGCCGCCCACCCCGCGGGCGCGCCTCTCCGCAGTCCAGCGCCGCCCGGCCCGGGACCCGCTCGCGCAGACTTCTCGGGCCGACCGAGGACGCAGACCCCTCGCGGCCGCCCCTGTGCTCGCCTGCGCGCCCGCTCAGCCAGCCGTCCGCGCCCCGGCGCCCGCATCCCGCCCGCAGAGCTCCCGCCCCGGGGGCGCTTCCCGGCCGTCGGCGGACCCCGCGGCCCGCGCGCTCTGCGCCCCGCTCGCCCGGCAGAGGGGAGGGCGGCAGGCGGCTGGGGATGGGCCGCCCGGCTGCGCCGAGGGGCGCCGGGAGGCTCCGTGCGCTGCTGCTGGCGCTGGTGGCCGCGGGGGTCCCCGCGGGCGCCTACAACCTCGACCCACAGCGCCCCGTGCGCTTCCAGGGCCCCGCGGACTCGTTCTTCGGCTACGCGGTGCTGGAGCATTTCCACGACAACACGCGCTGGTGAGTGTCCGCCCGCTCCGCGACCCTGGCCCGGCGGCCACCGCCCCGGCCCCCGGGCCCGCCGCCGCCGCCGCCGCCTTTCCGGCCTCTTCCACGCCGCCGTCCCGAGGGGCCGATTTAAATGTCTCCGCTGCGCGCGGCTCGGCCGCCGGGAGACGGCGGGAGAAGGGAGGACGTCGTCCGGGGCCCGCGGAGGTCGGGGTCGGCGCCTGGAGGCGGGCGGGGCTGTCGGGCGCCTCCCCGGGTCCCAGCCCCGAGCGTTCGGGGAGCGCCGCTAGAGTTGCCTCCTGGGCCGCCCGGCTAGACTCGGCTTCGCTCTCCGGATCGCGGAGTGACTTGGCTCCTCTGCCTCCGAGCGGCCGCGTGGGCCCGGCTAGCCTCCCGAACCTCGCGGGGCCTCGGGAAGTCAGGGCACTGGAGCTGCACCCCTCCTCAGTTTTGGGGAATCCCTGAGGAAGGACTGTAGCCTCTCCAGCGCTGTTGCGCGGGGTGGTGCTCCCCAGTGGCAGGGCGTCTGGGATCCCTCGGTGCGCGCTGGAGCCCAGAGCCTCCCCCCACCCCCAACAAGACTCGTGATGGAAGTGGGGTGGAGAAGCTCCTGGATACAGGGAAGAGGAGGGTAAGGGAGCACCTCCGAGTGACACAGGTGGGACAGTTAGGTGTTTCTTGGGGCAGCCTGAGTCTCTTCTCATCTTGACCAATTCCACCTGGAGACTTTCACCAGAAGCCTTAAGAGAGAGACGTGTTTTTCTGTAGAGGCCAAGGGGTCCAGTTGTCCTCTGAGTCTGGAGGGGTGGGCCTGAAGAACGTGGCGGCTCTCCATTAGGCATCATCAGCTGAGTGGTACAGAGCTTGTGACCAACTCCAGCGGAGAAGCACGAAGGGGAGGTTGGTGCCCTCCTTGGCCACATCCCCTGGACCAGAGGGATTAAACAGCCACACAGTGGTCACTTCTTGATAGGAAAGAGGGGCTGCGGGAAGTTCTCCGTTCAAGGTCGTCCCTCAGTGGGGACCCAGGTGACAGCCAGGCCAGGGTTGACTTTACTGTGTAGTCACCAGCCTGAGCGTCTTTAGGGATGGCAGGCAGGGAGGTCGAGGTCACTGATGCCGGTGCTCTCAGCATGAAGTTACGCAGGAGAGTCACTGCTCTGTATTGGACAGAGGCTGATGGAAAACGGTGGTTTGTGGATCGCAGAACTCTAGCATTCTTGGAAAAGGGGACTCCGGGAGCAGCCCACTAAGAGTCATGCTGTTTGGGAGATCAGCCTCCAAGAGAAACCGTTTTCAAAATCCTCCCATAGCTCTCGCCCACCTCCACATACACCCTCTCTCATTTACTGCAATTGCTGGGTTTAAGACCCAGTGTCTGTTCTTACAGTTGTCAATTTCCCCTTTTAAAGCAGAGCGGGCTGAAGGCTTTTTCTATGTCCTGCAGACTCAGGGTCTGCGGCTGAAGAACATATCCCAGATCCCCACACTAGGCACCAAGCATGCGGGAAGCTCTGTCACAAATGGGTGGGCTGCTGTGGACAGGGGGCTGCTGAGAAAGGGCGGGCAGCGGATCAGGCAGCCAAGCCAGCCGGAGCATTGTGCGTGATCTGCAGGCTGAGGCTGGCTCAATTGCCCGGAGCTCTCTGACAGCTAGAGGGAGAGAGGCCAGGCTACTGTCACTGTGGATTTGCATGGGCCGCAGGTCAAAGTCACCCGGGCTGGGAAAGGAATGAGAGCAGATCTGACAGAAAAGGTGTTCAGCCTACTTTGTTTTAAAAAGGGGATGAAGAAAAGCTGTGTGACGTGAGCAGATTTGGCCAGGGTAGGAAAAGACAGTCTAGCCTTCAACTTGGTACCCAGGGTAAATGGTAGGGAGTCGGTGTGGAGCTGGGCAGTAATGCTGTGAGTAGCCTTGTTGCCAGTTGAGATGTGGGACTGGCATTTCAGGGGTCCATGGGAACCCATGCAGCTGGGCTGCAGGGCTCCAGAATGTCCCCTCTCGTTCTGATACAAGCTGGCTGCTCTTTGTATTGGAGTGCTTGTCCCTGTAGCTGCTCAGGCACCACCTAAACTCTACTGAAATCTTTTAACAATAACTCTTCTTTTTCCTCCCTGCCCCCACCACATTGCCTTAACTTTTTCTTTTCCTCTTGATTTCTGTTCTCTTGATGTTGTTTTCAAGTATTTTCCTCCCCATCCTTTTTCTCTTTCCCCTTTCTCCCAATATTCTTTGTCCTAGACCTTGAATGTATTTTTTGCTGCTTACACTGCCCAGGCTTGGTAAGCTGCAGCCTTTGAAAGGAGCAACCTCCAGCATCTCCTTCCTTCTCCTTTGTCTTGCCTCTAGAGGCTAGACTCACTGTGTGAGGCTGCTGAAACTTAAGCCAAAGGTTTCTTGCTTATGCAGGGTCCTATTAATGCCCTGTCCCCAATTTTATAATTGTATATTAATTTTCTTAAAGGTAGTCACCCTATATCTATAAGATCAGGTCCTGTGAATTCTGGATTTGTCCCAAGTCTGTACCTTAACATAAACTCTGGGACTGGTTACTTTTCCCCACTGGGGTTGGTTGATTGACTTAGTGTCTGATTATTGGTTGCTTGCTACTAAGCAGAACCTGAGCCTTGGATCTTCTAGCCATGCTTGAGGGACATGTTGGTCATTTTCAATTATTTCTAATTGCAAACAGCAGCAGGGATAAACAACCTTTAACGAAACCCTTCAGGACAATCTTAATTATTTCCTTTGAATAAATTCCTAGGCTTAGAATTGCTAGGTCAGAGAGGATGACAGCTTCAAGGCATTCTCTATGTATTACCGAAGTGCCAGTGAAGCGTGTGTACTTTAGAAAAATGAATTGATTTATTCAGACGCTGGATGCTTAGAGTAGTTTTGCAAAGGGCTGCTCTAGTGCAATGGAAGAGTATGGAACCTACATGGGAGTGACTGAAAAGGATCAAATACTAGTCAAAATGAGTGAGGAAGGTAAAATACAGACATGCAAGGGAAAAGCAGTATAGCAAAACTTTGAAAGGAAAAGGACATGTTCATTAAGCCTTGTGTCTTATGTCTCTCTTCTTGAAGAAATTATTCTTGGTTACTTAATTCAGTATTTTGCAGTCTAAGATGTTTGCTTCATGCTAATCAACCACCTGTTTTACAGGTGAAAAAATGTGTTGTCTATAGGGAAAGGGAGGGAGAAGAACGTTCTGGAAGTGGCAGGAGGAGAGCCCAGACACCAAAGTCAGCATGGACTCTGCAGGCGGCAGAACGGAGCGTTCCCACGTTGAGGGACCTGTGGGCGTACATCTCAAAGCATATGAACGTGCTCTGCTGGTGGAGCTGGCACGTCTCCAGTCCCATAACTAAGCATTTCTCTCGATTATTTTGTAGCTCAAAATTGTCTCTAATCGGAGGGTCCTAGATCCCTGTGTAAGGGTGGGGGTGATCTTGCTTTTCCCAGCCCTGGTGACTGAACCCAGCTCTGTAGCCATATCACACTGAGTACAGAGCCCCAGACCCAGCTTCTCTGAGTACTTGCTTGAGCGGCCTGTCACTGTGCTCTGGGCAGTGAGGACTGTCCCCTGGCTAGATGGACCAGCATATCCTGGACAGTGTTCCAGATGATGTTTGTATCAGTTGGGATACAAACGTGCAAGTGACTCGGTTTTCTTTTTTTCTAGTAACACCCAGTGAGTGTCTGCCTGCCTAGAGCCGGCTTCCTCTCCTATAGCTCCTATCCCCGAGTCTTCTGGCACCCTTTGAACAACGACAGTAGGTGCCAGGGAACATGGACAAAGCCGATTTCTGTCCCCTTCCTTTAGACATGGACCAGTTCCTCAGCTGCAGGGCTGGCAACTGTAACACCCTGTGGTATAAATAAACGCAGCCTGGCTGGCGTGCAGCCTCCAGAGTGGACGTCTTTCACATCCCTCCCCATCCCTCCTCCTCCTCTGCCCCAGACGCCCTGGAGTCCAAAGTGGTTGGGTGCACTGGCTTCCTTTCTGGAGACGTGCTTCCTGCTCCCTCTCCTGGGGCACATCAAGACGGCGGTGCTCAGGCACAGAGCGAGTGCTTGGAAATGGAAGATGCACTGGGCTTTTTGCTTCGTTAAGGTTGTCAGAGCATTGTTCAGTGAGGAATAGGAGGCAATTCCAAGCCAAGGAGAACATAACATCCCGATTTGCCTGAAGGTCGAGAATTAAAAGAACAAGTTCGACAGTTCTGGTGAGCTGTCTGATGTAGTCACCACTAGCCAGATGTATTGCTATTTAAATTAACTAAAAATAAAATTTAAAAGTCAGCTTCTCAGTTCCACTTGCCACATTTCAAGCACTCAGTAGCCCCTTGGGGCTAGTGGTTACCGTATTCGACACAACACAGAGAGAACATTTTCATCATCATGGAAAGTTCTACTTGGCCGTGTGGGTTGAGAGCAATGATGTGAGTCTTAGACAAGGATCAAAAGGAAAGGTAAGAAAAAGAAAAATGAAGTTGTAGCATATTTGAGTACTAAAGCTGAAATAGACATCCATTTCAGTTTTACATCTGAAATATTACAGTGCTTACCTCTAACTAAAAATTGTTGCCCGCCGAAGAGGTTGAATTGTCTTTCTGCTCATAAAACACCGCAGGGCCTGGTCAGTGTTTAGGGCTTGGGGTTCAAGAATGAAGACTTTGCTCACAATCTGACAGGTGAGAAAATTGTGGGGTTCTAGTCCTGTATCTCAAGTGAAGTGTAAGCTATAGGCTCTGATGGGGAAGAGGCTTGTCCTCAGGCAGGCATGGGTTGTTCAGAGGGGCAGAAGAGAAACTCCTGTGAAAGGAAAACCTTTAGAAGGGGAGTCCTGGGATCACTGACCCTGCTGCCCCTGCCCTGCCAGTCTCGCTGACGGAACACCCAGCAGTGGTGGTGGGAGCCCTGCCTTCTCATAACCTCCGTGGCGGCATCTTTGCTGCATTCCTCTGTCCTGTGCCGGGCTCTAGGGGAAGGTGTAGGTCCACTTCC